ATAGATAGATAGATAGATAGGGTGTATGGGGATAGATAGATATGGTGGCAGGTAGGTAGATTCTAAACCCAAACCAGCTCCTCATTACAAACTTCAAACAATGACATTTTATAATTAAAACATTGAAGGGTGACCTGGAACGGAACTGAAACATGTGGCCTTTCTAGAAGCTTGTCTAAATTGTCCCCAAGTGCCAAAGAGAAGAGTCAAAGTGATAAAACACCTCGTACCTGCCTGCGCGTTCCTACGTGCAGGGCAGACAGTCAGTGTTTATAAAGCCTGCTCAAATTCCCAGCCCTAGTCACAAAGTCACATGGGACTCTCCGCTGGGGTGATGTTGCGAAGGGCAAACCAGCTGTAAGGTCCAGGGAATGACATTGGCTTGTGGGTATTGATTATAAGAGCTGAGAGAGACAGCACTTCCAGGCACAGTGACCTGGGCTAGACTAAAGCATTTCAGTCCCTATTGTCGTGTGCCCCAAACCGAAAACAGGATGGACCAAGGAACCCCCCCAATGCCCGAGGCCCCCTATAAGGGCAGCGAATTGATTGGGTGAGATATACCCAGATGATCCCAGCAAGTGACCCCGCTCCCCAAGCCCTGGCAAAGGTCCTTCCCCCAAGGTCCCTGCCAAAATGACCTAGGTGAAAATTCCTTCTTTGTCCCTCCCTGTCCCCACTCAGCCTCCCTCGAGAGGAGGGAGCCGGTTTGCCTTTCCCCTGGTCTTGCCCGAAGGGGGAGCAGGGCAGAAGGGGGTGACAAAGGCTCTCAGGGTGGCGTGCTTGGGGGACGCAGACCGGGGGGAGGCCGCTGGGTGATCCGTTTACAGAAATGGCCTCTTAGCTTTGCTTTGCTCCCCCCAGGACGCTGCTGAGCACTGGGCTGAATTCTTGGGCGGGGTCAATTGTCACGTTAGTGCCCACTGAGGATCTGGACAATGTACACCGCCGAGGAGCTGGCCCTGCCTACCCTGTTGACACAGGCCCAGATGGACGTCAAGGAAACCAACCAGTGGCTCGGTGGGTGCTCCCTGGATGTAGCCAGCCCCTCAGCCGGCAGCCGTGACTGTGGGTGGATCCCTCATCCTCTGAAGACATAGGGCTCTGAGACTCTGGGGTCTTGTGGGTCACTGTCACCAGGCAACCCCACCACGTCGCCCCCCAGCGCAGCGGGGACTTCTGCCCTCTCACTGGGCAGCAGGCATAGCCCTGCTCCTGCCGTCTATCCGGTTGGGAGTCACGCGGGGGCTGCTGAACCAGCAGCCTCTCCACTCACTGCGTCCCTGCTCGGCCTGGGCCAGGAAGGAGCAGCCATGAGGAACGGCAGTAGGGGGGGGGAGGTGGCAAAGACAGAATGTGAGGTGGGCTCAGTACAGGCCCCAGACTCCCTCAGATCTCCTACCCCAGGTCCCCCAGGGTCCCCCCCAGAAAGTCCTAGCTCCCCCCACTACTCCCCACGCCTCTGTGCCTGCCTCCCACTCAGTCAGCTTCCTGCCATTCTTGCCCTCTTCCTCCTCCTTTTGTAAAGGGAAATCACGCCTCACCAATCTATTAGAATTCTTTGAGGGGGTCAACAATCACCAGGGCAAGGGGGATCCAGTGGATATAGCGTACTTAGACTTTCAGAAAGCCTTTGTTAGGGTCCCTCACTAAAGGCTCTTAAGCAAAGTAAGCAGTCATAGGATAAGAAGGAAGGTAATTTTGTGCATCAGTAACTGGTTAAAAGATAGGAGACAAAGGTAGGAATAAATGGTCAGTTTTCACGGTGGAGAGAGGTAAATAGTGGTGTCCCTCAGGGGTCTGTACTGGGACCAGTCTTAGTCAACAAATGATCTGGAAAAAGGGGTAAACAGAAAGGGAAAAAAATTGCAGATGATACAAAATTTCTCGGGATACTTAAATCCAAAGCAGAGCACGAAGAGTTACAAAGGGATCTCACAAAACTGGGCGACAAAATGGCAGATGAAATGCAAAGTAAAGCACATTGGAAAACATAATCCCAACTATACACACAAAATGATGGGTCTAAATTAGCTGTTACCACTCGAGAAAGAGATCTTGGAGTCATTGAGGACAGGTCTCTGAAAACATCCACTCAGTGTGCAGCGGCAGTCAAAAAAGCGAACAGAAAGTTAGGAAAGAAGGCTGCACTGAGGGCTTTTTCCCCCTCTTCTGCTCTCAAGGGGAGAGCCCCTCTGCTTCCAGCCAGGTCCTGGTGGTGTGGGATAGCCTGGGACTCCCCCAGCCCCTCTGCCATGCCTGAGGGGCTAGAGCAAAGGGTAGCTGGGGGAGAGCAGCTGCAAATGTCCTCCAGTCTACCTCAGGGGCTGGAGCCCCACGCCCCCCTGTGAGCAGGAGAGGAGCGGGTTAGCATACTCAGCCCGGCCCTGCTCGACACAGCACGCCTGCCCTGGGAGCAGAGCCCGGGAGCCAGGCAGCAGCCAGCGGCGAGCGGGCTAAGAATCAGGGGGACCGGTGTCGTTCACAGCAGCTCTCTCCTCCTGTGCAGACATCCCTGGGCTGGAGGATGTCCTTGGCCCTACACGATTTGTAGGGGGTTAGCCTGTAAGAGTGTAGTGGCGGAGGTGACTGCCCCTCAGGACGGCTGGGGAGCAAATGGACCTGGAGAGAGGGAAGGGTGAGGTGGGGAGGAGGGTGCCCGCTGCCCCTGGGTCTGGATTCAAAGGGGTGCAGGGCACCCATCAGCCAGGTACTGGGGTGAGTTGGTTCAAGGGGTGGGGGAGCAGCTGAGAGCCTTTTGGCTGGGTTTTGAGAGTGCATCCCTTGAACTGCTGGCTTTCCTTGCAATTCCGCTGTAAAGTAACCGGCGCCCCTAGTGATCTGCTGATGAACCCCAGGGCGAGGGGGAACTGGGGTTGTTTTGGTGTCAGTCCTGTTGATTTGTAGCATCAGCCAGGTCCTTTGCCGGCCTGTCCTAAGGAGCTGCCGTGTTTTGGCATGGAGGGAAGGGGTCAGTGGGGCTCGTTTTGCGCTCCCCCAGTGCCGCGGGGCCTCGAGGATTATTTTCAGGGGGCAGCGAATTCTGGCTACAGCAACAGCAGGGCAACAGCAGGTGCCCCCAGACCTCCCGTGTGTGTCCCCCCGCCCCAGTGCACCCAGAGACGCAGACACACGGTGAGGGCTGCAGTGCAAGGCTTTTATTTGACTGTTGCAGCCTGCCGGCCTCCAGGGTGCAGAGGGGCCTGGAACGAAGCAAGTTCTCTCCGTCCCGCGGGTCCCTGCCGAGGGCTCAGTGGTACTCGTGGGCCAGCGCGTGGGCCACCACGCCGGCCAGCTTCTGCCAGGCGGCCTGGCAGGCAGGGGTGAACTCCCTCCCGAAGTGGGAAGCCAGGACGATGACGAGGATGTCACCCAGGAGCTGCAGGGGAGAAGGAAGAAAATACCCCCTTGAACCTCCGCACATCTGTGTGCCAGGGTTCCCTACCCCCCCACCCAACCCTTTTCTCCTGGGTCGTTTCTGCTCGTCTCTTGTCTCTTTTCAAACACACCAAGGGTAGCCCGGGCCATGGCTTAGGGGTACAAGAGCCCGTCAGACACTTTCTGGCCCAGCCGGGGTCCCTCTCTAGGGCATATAGACTGTGGGCATTGTTTTCAGGAGTCCTTTTCCTGTCCCTGATCCCCCTCCCCCCAGTCATGGAGAGGGCCCCAACAAGGGCTGGTCACTGTCTCTAAGTCCCACGTGAGCCCCAGGGGGGTCCCCTCCAAAGCCGTGTGGTCTCTTCATGTGCCTCGTTCCACCCCTTGCTTCCTTGCATCCCCCAGCCCCACCGGCCCTAGTTCACCTTCTACCCACCACCCCACACCTGCCTTTCTCCCCTGGTTCTCTGCACCCACCCGGCTTCCCCGGCCGACCCGACTGGCCCCCTGTCTGCAGCGCAGTTATGGGGACCCGTTCTGGTGCCACTGCCTGGCGCCGGTCCAAAAAAATACCACCCACATGTTTTTTTCAGCAGACAAGCCAGACATTTCTGGAGGGGGAAAAATCCTGGGCTGGCGGGAAATAGTTTTGTTTTGTTTTGTTTTTCCAAGATTTTCAAAGGCCCAAACTGAAAACTGTCCGTTTTCAACAAACAAACAATCTGCTTTGGGTGGGGTTTTTTTTGATGGAAACCTGGCAACGTTGGAACCAAGTTAACATGAAACAGAAGCAGAAGTGGCCATATTGCACCTGGCTCCCGCTGCTAGCGGGCTGCACCTGGGACCAAGCAGAGATCTGCTCTGGATCACAGGCTGGGGGGACGTGGGGTTGGAGCAGAGCCCCTCACGCTGTGGCAATCCCTGCCTTCCTCCAAGGATCCCCTCTGCCCTCTCCCACAGAGTCCCACCCCACTGCTGCTCCCCCTAACCCTCTGCCCTCCCCAAATACCCCACCCCTTCACTGCATGGGTACTGGCCATGGGACGCTGCAAACTCCCCCTCTTCGGGGGAGACGCCGTTCATGGCAGGCTGGAAGCTCTCTGCCATATTATTTACTCACTGCATCTAAGTGCTTCCCGGAGCTCCCCCCTAAGGCCGGCCCCGTGTCCCTAGGGGGCTGGGCAGAGGGGTCAGCGCAGAGCCCGACTCACCCTGAAGTTCTCGGGATCCACGTGCAACTTGTTGCAATGCAGCTCGCTCAGCTTGGCGTAGGTGGCCTTGATGTTGTCCAGGTTCTTCACGGCTTCCCCAAAGGAGGTCAGCACCTTCTTGCCGTGGGCACGGACCTTGGGGTTGCCCGTAATGGCGGTGGGGCTGGAGAGGTTCCCGAAGGAAGAGAAGAACCTCTGGGTCCAGGGGTAGACGATCAGCAGCCTAGAGAGAGGGAGACAGGAGCAGAGACACGCACAGGGTTACTGCAGCCTCCTTGCAGAAGCAGCGGCTTGGCCAGCCTGGGAGACAGTGGGGCAGATGCCGTGGGGCTCGGCCTACCTGGCCAGGGCTTCGCCGCCGCATTCCTCCGCATTGACCTTGCCCCACAGGCTGGTAATGAGCTGCTTCTCTTCGGCTGTCCAGTGCACCATGGTGACGAGCGAGGGGTTGTTTGCAGATGCAGCTGAGGGAGGAACCCGTATATGAGCGGCAGACCCCCAGCAGGGCCTTTATCCCCCAGCCTCAGCTCCTCCCCCTCTCTGTAGACACGGCCATTGGTCAGCCCTGGGGTGGGGTCTGCACTGGCTGGGGAGGGGACGGTCTGGGCAGGGTGTGATCTCCGAGGAGGGGGCCCCAGGCGAGATGAGGGCAGGGCTCAGCACTAGTCCCCGCTCTCTATACCAGCAGCCCACTGCTCTCGAAGGGGGTCTGGGACCCCAGGCAGGGAGCTGGCCCGAGGGAGAGGTACCAATCCAGGCCCACTTAGCCCTTCACACCGGGGCTGGCTGGTGCCAGAGTCTTGCGCTGGGCCTGCGTTTGGGGCAGGGTGCAGAGCTCCTCAGATGCAGCCTGTTTCGAAAGAACCCCGAAGTGAGCAGCACAACCAGCTCTCCTGCGATAATGGTTTACGCTTTACTACACGGGCTCTCTACGCCCTCGGAAAGGGGCACAAGCAGGCGCCTAGGTCTAGCACTGCTGCTCTGTGCAGAGGGGAATTTCCCCCTTTCCCCCAGCCCCACTCAGAGTGGATAGAAAGCTCCCCCCTCACCACGCTCTGCCCGCTGTTTAAAACGACCAACCAACAGGCCATAGGGCCAGCTCACCCCTTCGGCCACGTGGCGGCCCATCAACTACCCCTGCCGCAGGGCCTGTCCCTCAGCCCAGCTCTCCCCTCAGCAAAGTGCCTCTGACACTAACCCTCTCGCCAGTCCACCGCACAAGCTGGGGTCCCACGGGCACTAGAGTGTGACTCTGGGGAGCCTTTTTTCCTGCAGTTCATTGATTCGGGAAAGGGCTGTCTCGGAAAGGGACGTCGTAGCCCTTGACCCAAACTCAGCCACCCTGGGGTTCACCTGGTCTCTTCTCACAAGGAGTCCCCCAGACACGGCCACTCTGTTCCCAGCGCCTGCTCGCTGGGGCCGGGCTCTGTCCTGTGCAGCGGAGCCATCGTGGGGTGACGGAGTGGGAGACCAGCTCTCCCGTAGCCACATCCCCACTGGGGGAGGCCTCTGGAGCCGGACAATGGCTGGCATCTGCAGAGCATGGCAGACCACCAGGCTGCGTGAGGATCCGGCCGACGTGCCTGGGCTACACCTGTCCTTCGGACAGAGGGACTGTGGGCCTGAGCCGAAGCTGACCGACATCCACAGGAGTCTCCCCACGGGTTTTCACAGGCTGTGGGTCAGGCTGCAGAGGGGGCTCTGGACCTGCAATCCCAGCCGGAGATACCTGGCTTCTGGGGAGACAGAGGCACAGTCTCCATTTGCCTTTGCGAATATCGCCTGTTCATGTCAATGTGTCCACTGCGGTTCTCAGCATGATGGCTGGAGGTACTGACTGCACCCAACTGGGGAAGTCGGGGAACTCAATAACCTTCACTGCCCTAGGGGGCTGGTGGGTGGCAAACACTTCTTAATCTATTCCCTGTGTTTGGCGTGGGGGCAGGCATAAGTGTCTCTTGCCTTTGGTAGTAGGAAGGAGGCTGGCAGGGGCTGCGGGGGGGGGGAGGAGGGAGTATCCATTGCATGTTGCTGCTATGGGATGCCACTTTCCTCTGTTCTTTCCAGTTCTCCTTGACAGTAAAGAATGTCTCTGTTACTCTCGTGGTTATTCACGTAAAAGCAGCAGGCCCTGTGCAGCCAGGAAGGAAAGTGCTGTCCTGCTCCCAGGCCAGGTTACATAAGAACATCAGAACGGCCATACTGGGTCTGACCAAAGGTCCATCTAGCCCAATCTCCTGTCTGCCGACAGTGGCCAATGCCAGGTGCCCCAGAGGGAATGAACCGAACAGGGAATCAGCAAGCGATCCATCCACTGTCACCCATACCCAGCTTCTGGCAAACAGAGGCTAGGGACACCATCCCTGCCCATCCTGGCTAATGGCCACTGATGGTCCTATCCTCCATGAACTTCTCTAGTTCTTTTTTGAACCCTGTCATGGTCTTGGCCATCACAACATCCTCTGGCAAAGAGTTCCACAGGTTGACTGTGCATTGTGTGAAGAAATACTTCCTCATGTTTGTTTTAAACCTGCTGCCTATTAATTTCATTGTGACCCCTGGTTCTTGTATTATGAGAAGGAGTAAATAACACTTCCTTATTGACTTTCTCCACACCAGACATGATTTTATAGACCTCTAGCGTATTCCCCCTTAGTCGTCTTTTTTCCAAGCTGAACAGTCCCAGTCTTATTAATCTCTCCTCATATGGAAGCCGTTCCGTACCCCTAATCATTTTTTTTTTGCTCTTTTCTGAAACTTTTCCAATTCTAATACATCTTTTTTGAAATGGGGCGACCACATCTGCACGCACTATTTATACAGAGACAATATGATATGTTGTGTCTCATTATCTATCCCTTCCCTAATGGTTCTAAAATTCTGTTCATTTTTTGGACTGTTGTTACACATTGAGGGGAAGATTTCAGAGAACTATCGACAATGACTCCAAGATCTTTCTTGAGTGGTAACAGCTAATTTAGACCCCATCATTGTATATGTACAGTGGGGATTATGTTTTCCAATGTGCATTACTTTGCATTTATCTACAACCTACAGGTCCCGTGCTGTGAATGCTTATACAGCTGAATAACTTCACCCAGAAAGGGGCAGGGGAGGGGTGCTCCTTGAACCGGATGGCAGCTACTCTCCAGCATCAAGTTACTCATACACATAACGGCTGGCAGGATCGGGCCCCAGGAGGCCACGCAAGAAGGGTGTTGGCAAGGGATGCACTGAACCAAGTCTGGCCAGGTCTTGATAGCTACCTTTAAACCATTTATCTAAAAACTGCCCCCACCCAGGCCTGGACTGAGCTGGTGTGAGTCAGCAAACTGCTCCGAGGCAGCGTGCCAGCAGAGAGCCTGAGCTGATAAAAACCTTCCCTTGCAGGGGGGTGGGGGGGTGGTTCTTATTTGCTCTTACCGCTAGAAAGACAATAAATAAATAGCAAGGAGTCTGGTGGCACCTTAAAGACTAACAGATTTATTTGGGCATAAGGTGCCACTGGCCTCCTTGTTGTTTTTGTGGATACAGACTAACACGGCTACCCCCGATAATAAATAAATCGTGCACTGAAATACCCCAGGGGGTTCCACTCACTGCAGGCTTTCTGCTTGGAGCACCTTACACAACTTCTCCTTCAAGGTGCTCCATAGCGGGGCATGTGTGTGTGTGTGACACTCTCCCTTAGTGTGCTCACTTGTGGCAGGCCTGGAGGTCCCCTGGCCTGGTGATTTGTGAGGCTAGTTTTCAGAGCGCAGGACATTCACCCTTAGAAGTGAAGAACGACAAACCAGCGAAGGTGCTGACCCATTGTCGCTCTATGAAACCTACAAGCACCCCCCGGTTCTCGCCACCCCGAGCCCTCCTCCACCCTCCCCACGCGCACACAGATACAGGGACTCAGGGGGACTTCAGCAGAAGGTTTTTATTTGGTTGTTACAGCCTCTCACTCCCAGGAGGGGATTCCCATCCGTGCAGAGGTAGCTGGAGACCTCCCGCTGGTGGGTCCCTCCAGATGATTCAGTGGTATCCAAGGGCCAGAGCATGGGCCACCGCGCTGACCAGCTTTTGCCAGGCGGCCTGACAGGCAGGAGTGAACTCCTTCGTAAAGTGAGAGGCCAGGACAATGATGAGGACATTACCCAGGAGCTGGAGAGGAGAAAGAAGAAAATACCCCCCGGGTCAGCACCGCTCTGATCTCCCACCTCTCTCTATTCAAAGCTCAGGGCTGGTGCAGGGGATCTTGGCTTTATGGAGCCCTCGAACTATTCTGGGGGTTTATAAAACTAGCTGGAGACTCTGCTCCCTTCAACCCTGCAATAGAAACTCACTTGCCTCCCTCCCCAGGAGAGCCCATTAAAGAACATTAACCAGCAACCTGGTTTTGTAGCTCAAGGGCACTCCTAGGGGCCCTATATAGAGTATATGGACTGTTGGCCTGAGCCTCTGTTGCATCACACCGGCCCCACCCCAGTGTGACCATCCTCTTTCACCGGTGTTACAAACCCCGGGGGGACTCTGGCACTCGGGTGTTTCGGCCAGTGGAATTTCTCACTGCCCTTCCTAGCTCAGAGGAGCCTGCGTGTCTCTGCAGAATGACATGAAACTGGGCACCTGGTGCCTTCCAAAATGCTCCGTGAGGTTCTCAGCCTCGGGACGCCTGCCGAGCCTGGAGACTCACCTCCCACCCCTACCCCAGAGCACAAATCCAAACAGCAGCCCCCAGTTACTGCAATATCAGGATTCAGGGAGGTGGGGATTTGTGCTACCAGAGACCAAAGGTTGCCTGAAAATGCACCTCACCCCAGAAAGCTCCTGACACTCACCGGCATGTCTGGGGTTGTCTCTTCCCCAAATCCCACTCTTCTTTCCTCCTGTGTCTCTCCTGTCTCTGATTCCTACACTGTTCTTTTGTCTCCTCCAGACTGATGGTCTCTCTCCTGACGTCCCCTGGCTCAGACCTCTTCCTGCTCCCACTGCTGCTTTCACTTTTCCTTCCCCTTCCTCCCTGCTGCCCTCACTTTACCCACCTCCTCGCCATCCCTCTCTGCCTTTCCCTTCCTCTCCTGCCTCCACGCCTCCTCTTCCTCCAGTCGCCTGCCTGCACCCCGAACCCTTTAACGCACTTTGACTTCTTCCCCCTCCCATACTGTTGTTCCATGCCCCCCTCGTCTCTCTCCTTCCCGCCTCGTGGTTTCCTCACCCCGTCCCTTGAGGCTTTTGCTGCCACTCCCCCAACGCGTGTGAACCTCCTGCCCATAGGAGAAGCGCTAAGCAGGGAGCTGCGCAGAGCCCTGGTAGCATGATGGCACAGCAGTCCTCACCCACCACGGATACGTCACCCAGCAAGGATCCAGACAGGCTGTGCAAGCCCTGACTACAGAGATTTCCCCTTCCACGGGTGCGTCCCCTCGCCTGCTGCCCACCTCTCTGCGCTTTCCCCACTCAGAACTTTCCCCTCCCAATCTGAATCCCTCTCATGTTTAGTCCCCTCCTGCAGGTGGCATCTGCGGATTTGTCACGGGGTCCCTGAACCTGAGACGATTCAGAGTTTCCCCTTGAGCCCTCCCTGGTGAAGACCCTGATCATCCATGCCTGGTATCACTTCCGTGGATGGTATGGAGCTGCTGACGTCATTGCCCGGGAGGCCACCTTTGGCCCTGCTCTCCTGGGAGCTTGCCTGCAAGTGACTGACCCAGAACCAAGGATGGCCACGGTTGCTCCCGCTGGCCCTGCTCCGGGGATGGGCAGGGGGCTGGGAAGAGGGGTCAGCCCAGAGCCGGACTCACCTTGAAGTTCTCAGGATCCACATGCAACTTCTCGCAGTGCAGCTTGCTCAGAGTGGCAAAGGTTTGCTTGATGTGGTCCAGGTTCTTCACGGCTTCCCCAAAGGAGGTCAGCACCTTCTTGCCATGGGCATGGACGTGGGGGTTGTGGAGGATGGCTTCGGCATTGGAGAGGTTCCCGAAGGTAGAGAAGAACCTCTGGGTCCAGGGGTAGACGATCAGCAGCCTAGAGAGAGGGAGACAGGAGCAGAGACACGCACAGGGTTAGCGCAGACTCCCTGCAGAAGTAGCGGCTTGGCCAGCCTGGGAGACAGTGGGGCAGATGCCGTGGGGCTCGGCCTACCTGGCCAGGGCTTCGCTGCCGCATTCCTCCACATTGACCTTGCCCCACAGGCTGGTAATGAGCTGCTTTTCGTCGGCTGTCCAGTGCACCATGGTGAAGAGAGTGGTTCTGCTCGGCGCGTAAGCTGCGTGAGGAACCCGTAGCTGAGCTGGAGTCCCCTTTGGGGACTTTTATACCCTAACCACGGCTCCTCCTCATCTTAGCCCACACGGCCATTGGCTGGGCCCGGGGCCAACGCTGCCAGGGCAGCCTGGAGGAGGAGGCACTGTGAGTCGGGGTGTGGTCTGCGGGGCAACGTGCCCAGGGCTAACGCAGCGGCAGAGCTCTGGCCCCCCTCCTTCTGTTCTCCTGCCTTCGGCCAGGCAGCTCCCAGACCCAGCTGCCAAAGGGTGGTGCAGAGGTCTAGGCCGAGACCTAAGGACCACGCCGGCCCTGCTCACTCCCTCAAAGGAATGAGTCCCGGGGAAAGGCTGGATGAAAATGTTTGCTTTCCCCCTTGATTTGAACCCGGTTGGCTCTGGGCACACCTCAGTCTCATATTAGTATCGTCGCCAGTCAGATGAGTTATGATTTATTGCCCAGCCCCAGGGCCCCGTCCTGCCAGGCAGGGTATGAGCGAGCCCCTCCGTCGGAGAACTGAGGATAGAGCTAAGCAGAGCAGACCAGGCCCTGCACTCTAAATACAAATGAAGGGCGGGGGACAGGAAGGATCATCACTTCTGTCGCACAGAGAGGGGAAGGGACATGGCCAAGGCGAGCCAGAAAGTCTGTAGCAGAGCTGAAAACAACCCCGCCTCTGCACAGCCAGTGGCAGACCTGGTCACTGGAACCCGGGTCTGACCTCTGGAATGGAGCCGTCTAGGGGCCACGCAGCGAGAGCCCGGCTCTGGGTAGTCCCGGCCACGCTGGTAAAGAGCTTTGTAGAGCAGGACAATGCTCTTGGGTGCTGTCCTGAGCCATGGCCGGGGTGGGGCACAGGGCGGACGTGTTTGTGTTTGGACGAGGCGCCCAGCTGTGGGCCGTATCTGCTTCCACCTCCATCCAGCCCCAGGCCCGGGCCTTGGGTCACCCGAGACACAGCGGCTGTGAGCCGATTCAGAGCCAGCAGGAGTCAATGGGAATCTCTCCCGTGGCTGCCCAGCTCTTTGGGGCCGGCTCCGAGAGAGAGGCTGGGCTGTGGGGCCCTGGCAGCACAGGATTCCTTGTCATTCACTTCTTTAAACGCGTGCAGCTACTTTCAGGGCCTGCTTTGGGGCTGTCTTTTCACCCGTGTGTCTGCGTTGGAGCGGAAAAGAGCATGCCCAATAAAGGGGTACTGCCCCCCTTGCCAGGGCCTAGCGAGTGTTGAGAGGGGGGCTGGGGACTGGTGATCGCCCCGTCGCCTGTCTCTTTGCTACGTTAGCGGGCAGGTGATCTGCAGGGGCGAGGGGGAAGGGGCGTCCAACATGGGTGGGTGCAGTGAACATCCCCCGGGTGCTTTCGTGGGTAATACATTGAACATTCAGTGATGTCTTTCTTCAGCTGATCACGCTGGGGCACACATGAAAGAAGGAGTGCTCCCATCCCAGTCTCAGGGCCTGCTCCCACCGACACTTGTGCGTGTGAGTAACTTTACACACGTGAGCAGCCCCACCGCACTTGCGGAAGGAGCAGCTGCAGTCTTGCACCATGACACCTGTGTGGCGTTATACGCTGTCTGATTAAAACATCTCAGTGTGTGTGTGTGTATTTCTGTGTGTGTGTGTATGTGTGTGTGTGTGAGAGAGAAAGAGAATATTTCTGTGTGTGTGTGTGTGTGTGAGAGAGAGAGTGTGTATTTCTCTGTGTGTGTGAGAGAGAGAGACAGAGAGAGTGTATTTCTCTGTGTGTGTATTTCTCTTTCTGTGTGTATCTCCCTGTGTGTGTGTGTGTGAGAGAGAGAGAGAGAGAGAGAGAGAGTGTATTTCTCTGTGTGTTTGTATTTCAGTGTGTGTGAGAGAGAGAATGTGTATTTCTATGTGTGTATTTCTGTGTGTGTATGTGAGAGAGAGAGTGTATTTCTGTGTGTGTGTGTGTATTTCTGTGTGTGTGTGTGTGAGAGAGAGAGAGAGTGTATTCTCTCTGTGTGTGTGTGTGTGTATTTCAGTGTGTCTGTATGAGAGAGAGAGAGTATTTCTGTGTGTATATTTCTATGTGTGTCTCTGTGTGTATGTATTTTTCTGTGTGTGTGTGTATTTCTGTGTGTGTATGTGAGAGACTGTGTGTATTTCTGTTTGTGTGTGTGTGAGAGAGAGAGAGAGAGAGGGGAGAGAGAGAGAGAGAGTATTTCTGTGTGTGTGTGTATCTCCCTGTGTGTGTGTGTATTTCTCTGCATGTCTGTGTGTGTATTTCTCTGTGTGTGTGTATTTCTGTGTGTGTATTTGTGTGAGAGAGTGTATTTCGGTGTGTGTGTATTTCTGTGCATGTGTGTGTGTATTTCTCTGTGTGTGCTGGTGTATTTCTGCGTGTGTTCAGTTGTGACAGGCCTGACTAGTCCCTGGTAATGCCGCGCTGGATATATGCCTCTCAGAGTGCCGCATTTCCACCAGCCCTTAGAAACCAAGCCATGAGCTAACCCATTTCCTGGTTATGAAATGTCTAAGCACCCCTGTCCCTACCCTTCCCCGGGCCCTAGCTCCCAAAGCACACACAGACTAGGGACAACAGGAAGACTGCAGTGGATGGTTTGTATTTGGCTGTTGGGCCATCGGTATTTCCCTGCGGGGAGCTGTGCCTGGAAGGTAACAGGCTGTCGTCCTCGCATGGGTCCCTGCGGACGGGTCCCGGGAGCTGGAGGGGAGAAGGAAGAAAATACACACACACACACCCCTTTTTAAATCCCTCTCTAGCCCCTTGACTTCACCCTCCCTCCCAGGCTGGGAAAGGCAAACGTCACACAAGGGCTCAGGCACTTTCTAGGCTTGTTCGGGAGGTGGTAACCCCCCCCCCCCCCGGAGCCAGCACAAGAATTAGCCTCTAGTTATCCAAGTATTCGGTGAGATGCCGCCAGCGGTTTTGTCACAGCCCCATGGTCTGCCATCACCCTTCCTGTGGGGCACTCGCTGGGATCCTGAATTTCCTCAGTTCCCCTTAGCTCTCTGCCTCGGATCCCCCTCGCTTCTCCTTCGGGGCCTCTGCTGTCCTTCTCTCTCCAGCGCCGGCCGCTTCAGTCCCTCCCCACTTCTTCCTTTGCCCGCGCTGGCTTTCACTTCACTTCCCCCCTCCTCTTTCACTGCCCTGGTGGTTAACCACCTCCTGGCCCTCGCTCTCCGCCTTTCCCTTCCCCTCCGGCCACCTTTCCTCCTCCACTCGTGAGTTCTCCCACTCGTGCAACTCCCTCCGCCAGCTCCACCGCGCTGCAGGTTCTTCCAGTCAGCCTGTCTGCACCCGTCTCCCCACAGATTCCCCCTGCATCCCCTGACACTGCCCCCGACCCCTTTCACGGGTGGCACCGGCAGCGTGTCTTTGGAAGTTCCCCTGAGCTGTCTCTTGTGGGTGCGCTGTTCACCCCATACTGGCATAGTTACAGGAACTGAGCACCATGGTGCCGGGGGGTTCGCACGGCAGGCAGTAGGGCTGGAGCGGTTCCCGAAGGAAGTCAAAAACCTCTGGGCCTAAGGGTAGATGATCAGCAGCCTACGTGGGGAGCCATGAGCAGAGAGCAGAGAAACGGCTGCTTCTCCGGGGAAGGAGGCAGCTGAGTGGTGTCATGGTGCCCATTGAACTGGTGGAAATCCAGGCCTGGGGCAACTGAGTGACTTGCCCAGGATTCTGCAGCAGAACTTGAGGCCTCTCTCCGGAGCCCCGGGCCGGTGCGTTAGCTGCAAGACCTTCCTTTCTTTGTCTCGTCTGGCAAAACGTCGCACAGTTGTGGCCAATAATGCTCTGTCCTCAGGGCCTGAGAACGGGAACCTGGGTCTGTCTGGGGAGCCGGCAGGGGATGTGAGGAGCAGGGGCTGGGTGTTTGTGTCAGCCTCTGTGGCGAATGGCATGGTAAGTTAGTCATGTAAGGCAGTGGCACAACAGGCCTCCTCCAAGCCACATTTATTAACCCTCCCCTGCCTGTAAGGCAGGTCAGGATCCTTCACCCCACTGTACTATTGGGGAAACTGAGGCACAGAACAGGGACGGGAGTTGCCCAAGTCCACAGAGGGAGAGTGTGTCAGAGCCGGAATTGGAACTCGGGAGAGCCTGCACTACAGTCTTGGGCCCAAACTAGCCCTGCGCTGGAGTCAGGAACTGGAGCTAGATGTAGTTTGAAACCCAAAACACACCTATGGCTTAACCTTCTTCTGTAGCCCTTTGTGGGGAAGGGTGTGTGCGGATATCCTCGGGCAGGGCACCAACTGTCCTTCTGAACCCCGGGGCTGCGCACTGTGACAATTAACATCACCCCTCCCACCCCCGCATCTGCTGGAGGGAATGGGCAGGGGTCTTTCAACTGGCCCCTTAGTAACTGGCCTCGTGGCTGGGGGGAAGCAGTAGACACGAGAGATCTCCATTGTGGTGAGGCTTTTGACACACTCCTACATGACTTTCTCCTACGCCAACTAGGGCAGTGCGGTCACGTGACATTACTAGACGGTGGGTGCACAACCAGTTGGAAGACTGTACTCAAAGTCGTTGTCAATGATTCATTATCCAGCTGGGAGGGTGTATCTAGTGGGGTCCTGCCGGGGTCAGTCCTGGGTCCGGTGCTGTTCTACATTTCATTAATGACTTGGCTAATGGAGTGGAGAGCATGCGTATAAAGTTTGTGGACGTTGGCAAGCTGGGAGGGGCTGCTAGCACTTTGGAGGTCAGGATTAACCTCTGAGGATAGGGCAAGTAGCAATGGGTTTAAATTGCAGCAAGGGCAGTTTAGGTTGGACATTAGGAAAAACTTCCTAACTGTCAGGGTGGTTAAACACAGGAATAAACTGCCTAAGGAGGTGGTGGAATCTCCATCATTGGAGATTTTTAAGAGCAGGTTGGACAAACCCCTATCAGGGATGGTCTAGATAATACCTAGCCCTGCCATGAGTGCAGGGGACTGGACTAGATGACCTCTGGAGGTCCCTTCCAGTCCTATGATTCTATGATTAGAATTCAAACTGATCTTCACAACTTGGAGAATTGGTCTGAAATCAGCAAGATGAAATTCA